CTTTTCGAAGACCCTTTGTTAAAAATTCTTAAATTCGAATAAAAAATATTGTGGGTCACTCATGGGCAGAAAAACTATCCTATCTCTCAAGTTGGACCAAATTATACACAGTGTGCAAAAGTACAATGAAATCAGTTCAGTACTTTACTACTTTAGGAGTTCATCGCGGACAAACAATGTGACACGTGATTTAAATATATAAAGAATATGTTACATAAACGAATTAAAAATAAAAATCTGTTATAGAATACTTAGAAGCTCGTTACCTCCAAGGTCTACATTGAGCAGATCCCTGCCATTAGACGCACATTTATTCTTGGTTGCAACCAAAATGAGAGCGTCAATCAATCTGGTAATAATACCCTCTGTACTGGCAAAATTGTTCTTGTCGCCGTTTTCAATTTTGTTAATCAAAGATGCCAGCTGCAGCAATGTGTTAACATCCGCAGGTGCCGCGGGAACGGTCGTTACTGTCTCCACACAACCGTGTGGAGGATAGCGTGGTGGAAGGCATTGCTGTGGTTGCTGCCCTAAGACCACCTGTAATATCACACAATTAAAAATTAAAACTTTGCCGAATTACTTACTACGCTGTTATAAAATAATAAATGTTCAAACTTACTCCACAACACACCGCTACGAATAAAAGTACTAAGAATTGATTCATTGTTAATGCTGTGCTGTGCAATAGGAAACGGCTGTTTATATAATAATAGAATTATTGCAAAATATATCATTACCTAATGTTGACTAATAATTATTTCTTTCTTATTACGAATACAATCAAATTTTCATTGAGCTTTACTAAATCACGCATGTAGCGGGAGCAATACTCAGGAGCTAAACGCTCGCTGTAAATTTCACAGTACGCTAACAACCCGCGTTCGATCCCCACAGGCACCAATGAAATTGATAATTGCAATTTTATGCATGTCTATTTCTGCATGTCTGAGAGATTAAAAAATTATTAAGAAGGGAAGTCGTTAAGTCTAATAACACGGATTGTGGTAGCGCAATAGACACTTGTTTGCCCTAAAAATCCTTTCAGATATGTGAGGAGGGCTGTGGTCAGGGACTAAGCGCTTGCCGTAAATTTTAGAGCACAAACAACCGAGGTTCGATCCTCGCCAGCACCAATGAAATTGTTTATTTTACTTAACTATATGTTTGACGGTGAAGGAAAACATCACTTTAAAATATTTCGAACATGTAAATAAATGTATCTCAGAAATGAGGGGAGGCATGCACCAAGGGATGGGATGCCTATAGGCTGTATAAATTACTATTACGTATATTGAAACGTATATGGTATAGTATTTACAAAAAAATCAGATTTTGTTATCTGATTTAGTTTTTGTGAAATAAAAACATAAAATATACGTCGAAGTGGTGTATATATTTTACCAAAGTTCTTATACTCGATAATCATAGCATCGAATGAGACAAAAGATAAGCACTTACTTCTCTTAACATCATACACCGATAACTTATTGGAACGTAATGGATTTAATTAAACATCACGTATTTATCACAATTAACGTAATGGTCTATTTATCTAACTAACACACTGACCTTAATCAGTGCCGTATCGACCACGTAGCAAAAGTAGTAACAACTGGTCACTTTGCCCACGCAGATTCCAGATGTGGAGGATCATACACCTTCCCTTTTGGACCTTTTGCTGACCTCTCATCCGGACGGTTATCAGGTCTCCGTCCACCACTCGCCCGGAAGACAGTAATCTACGAGTATGTTTTGCCACAAATGTTGCGTCCGGTTCGGATTTGGCTCACGTCTCATAACTCGTAACTGCCACCCTCGTTGATTCCAAGGTCTTGGCAGCTAGGCTAATTATTCTTTCTGTATTAAACCGTTTAGAAAATATAGTGAAGCATGTTTTCTGCTTAATATTTTTCTTTTTAAAACACGCTGCTTAAAACAAAAAATATTGGCTTGGATGTGGCATTGAACCCACAATCTGATTCGGTCTGAGTTTTGAAATCTGTGAGGGTTTTCCTGTCGAACCCACTTACGTCTCACCAGTAGTTCTTACAGAGGTATACTCGTACTCAAGTAATATACTAGTATTTTATAAAGAACTGAGGTTGGGGTTGGTATTAGGGGTTGGATTTTCCAAAATCCTTTCTTAGTGGAGATATAGAGTATATATGTTAATTTCATCATTAATCTTTTTGATAAAAGTGTGTTAATTTTGACAGAATTAAATGTAATAAAAAGATTTTTGTAGCTAGTAGTGAAGATTATTGACGCAAATCAGTTGAACGTGTTGTGTCTATTTCATTTAAAATTACACGAGTACTTGTAACAATCATGTATCATTCACAAATAGCACTTTGTCAGACATCTTTGGTACCATATATATGATTATATGTACTAGCTTTTCCAGGCAGCCATGACCCACATGAATTAAAGTGAATAATAAATTCTAAACAAATCCAAAAGACATTGCGCAGGTATTTAATGAACATGACATACATTTATGAGTTAGGTAACCCAAACCCCAAGATCACGGCTGGTGATCTTCTGGGTTACCTAACACATAAATGGGCGGAGGCAGTAGAGCCCAGTGGGGAGGCGTTGGCCGTTAGTTTGGACATAGCGAAGGCCTTTGATCGGGTTTGGCACAAAGCGCTTCTTACGAAACTTCCTTCCTATGGGCTTCCCGAGAAATTGTGAAATTGAATCACCAGTTTTCTTGCTGATAGGATCATCAAGGTCGTAGTAGACGATGCATATTCCGATTACAAGCCCATTAACGCTGATGTTCTACAAGGCTGCATATCAATGACATGTTGCAAACCGGTGACATTCATTGCTATGCAGATGACAGCACCTGTACACCGGCCGTGCCAATATTTTTCCGAAAAACGTTGCAGAGTACCGGGAAAAACTAGTGTCTGAAGTCGAAACCTTATTGAATGAAGTCTCGGATGGGGAGATAGATTACCAGAGATGCACTCCCTTGTTGAGGAGAGCGAGGAGGTGGTAGAGAAGGCCAAACTGGCCTCTCTACAATGCTTGGCGTGTTCAGCAGAGCGGGACAGTATTTAAATGCCGGCTCGCCGCCTGCAACATTACAAGGCGCAGTTTCGACCGCACATGGAATGCTGTTCCCATCTCAGGGCTAGGGCTCCCCAGTGCCAGCTCCTTCCATTTGATCGCATCCAGCGCAGAGCTGTTCGAATAGTCGGCTACCTAGCTCTATCCGATCGGCTTGAATCACTGGCACTGCGAAGAGATATTGCATCTCTTCGCAGTGCAAGTGATTTTATCGCATTTACCACGGGGAGTGCACGGAAGAATTGTTCGGAATAATTCTTAAAGTTTTCTTCCTAGCACAACTTACATAGAATCGACTACCACCAGATTTTCACGGACCGATACGATTTAGACAACTTCAAGAAAAGAGCCTACTCCTTTTTAAAAGGCCGGCAACGCATCTGCAATTCCCCTGGTGTTGCAGTTGTTCATGGACGGCGGTAATCACTTACCATCAGGTGAGCCGTATGCTCGTTTGCCTCTTCTTCTATAAAAAAGTGCATAAAAGCTATTTAACTGTGGTAACTTATTTCTTAAAATCGCTAAAGTACGTTCTTGATGTGCGATATTATCTCTCGGTATGTTTTTTTATAATATGTGCGAGCTGCTATGCAGGTCTTAGTAAGGAGATCATTGCGACTTAAAAGATCTATTGTGATCGCTGCTATGGCTATAGTTCACTGCTAAACCCTATGGGTCAATTCACACGTACCACAACCACACCACGTCGCAGCGACAAAATGTGGTCAAGCTGTGGTTACCTGTGAATAGTGTCGCAGCGGCTTTTTGCAGTTGCGTTGTGGTACCGACAAAATGTCGATGTGGTTGCGTTGCCGCTGTCGTTGCGATTATGGTAACCACGTGATCATGTGCAGTTATACTCCGGCTTTCGTAGAGGAAACATGGCTTGACTGAACGTAGTAATGGAGGAAAGATGTTGTTGTTATCCTTGTTATGACTTTTATTAATAAGAAGGAGACGATGACATCAGCGTATTCGTCGAAATAGAATTTGTTGGGTACATCCTTTATTGGAAAACAAAAGTCAAAGCCAATTTCGTATAATTACAGGCTGTGAGGCGTTCCATCTCACTCCTCAGAGGTGATAACGCATCTATAGCTTTCTTTGGTTTGAGTTTGCTGCCGGTGTCCATGAACCGCAGAGCCACTTACCATCTGGTGTACTGTAAATTGGTTTGTCTTAACAGTTATTTAAATAAATGAAAATAATGTTTTTTATTTATGTTTAGATGTATTGTAAAAAACATTTTAACTTCGACTTACTCTACATGTTATTTGGATCATTCTTATGGATGTTCTCGTTTCATCGATATTTTAGACGGAAAATTAGTGTGTGCCCCTGTATCTGCTATGGTAGCGCAAAACGTATACCATTTATTTGCTGAAGAAAAAGGGACACTATGGCTCAGTTGTATTACCAACGTTTCTATGACATAGATTTTATATTTAACCTTGAGAAATTTATATTTTTCCGCAAGTTGGCTGTGTTTGTTGGCTCCACACCATAGTACATCCATAATGTGCAAAATTTATATCACGCACTGCGAGCGGAAAAATTAAATTCAATCTAATTTTTTTGCCGTTTTTTCTGGTGCTTTACATCATTTGATGTCACAGTGGACTGACTATAGACCATGAATGGGAAAATAAAATACAATATAATAATTTCTTTTTTAAACATATTTTATTGTCATCTTTAAAAACACTTTTGTAGATAAATTTTTTAAGAATATACAAGTAATTTTTCAGGATAATACAATCCTATGTTATCCTATGATATCATTCATAGTCATTCTAAAAAAAAGTAAGGGAACTAAACAATAATTAAATAGAAACAAGTTTAAAATATTACGTTCTGACTATTTATACATATAAATATATTACAAAAACAAATAAAGAATAAAAATAATACCTAATCGATTATAGAAGCCATATACTTAGAAGCTCGTTACCTCCAAGGTCTACATTGAGCAGATCCCTGCCATTAGAAGTACCTTTATTTCTGGTTATAACCATAATGAGAGCGTCAATCAATCTGGTAATAATTCCCTCTGTACTGGCAAGATTGTTCTTGTCGCCGTTTTCGATTTTATTAATCAGAGATATCAAGTGTAGCAATGTGTTGATATCCGCAGGTGCCGCGGGAACGGTCGTTAATGTCTCCACACAACCGTATGGAGGATAGCGTGGTGGTAGGCATTGCTGTGATTGCTGCCCTAAGACCACCTGTAATGTCACACAGTTAAAAATTTAAACTTATCCGAATTACTTACTACGCTATTATAAAATAATAAATATTCAAACTTACTCCACAACACACCGCTACGAATAAAAGTACTAAGAGTTTATTCATTGTCAGATCTGTGCCGTTCAGGAAAATAGGAAGCGGCTTTATATTGTAATAAAATAATGGCAAAACACAAACATATATCATTGCCTAATGTTGACTTAAAATACTCGTACTTTCTTATTACAAAATATACAAACTTATATTGAGCCTTATTGTATCAAGCATGGACCGTAGTAGCACAGGAGCTAAAAGCTCGCTGTGAACTTCACAGTTAGAGAAAAACCCCGGGTTCGATCCCCACCGAAACCAATGAAGTTGTTAACAGCAATTTTAAATTGCTGATTGACCACGTGCTAGGCGGAACCATGATGACGAAACCTGCATGTCTGAGAGATTAAAAAAATATTTCATTCGGGGATATGATGCCTATAGGTTAATATAAATTACTATAAGCTGTATTATCACGTATGGGATAGGCTGTAAACAATTTTTTTTAACATGCATTTTAAAATACTACAACTTTGTTTTTATTTTTGTCATTAAAATTATATATTTTACTAGAATGAAATAAAACATAAAATACACGTCAAAGTAGTAGTGTATATGTTTTACAAAATTTCTTAGGGTTATACTTTACTCGATAATCATAACATCGGATCGAATCGAATAGGTCAGAAGATAAACACATACTTCTCTTACACGTACACCGGTATCTTATTAGAACTTCGTGGATTTAATTAAACAGCACGTATTTATCATAATTAACTTAAACGATATTATGATATAATATTTATGTAACTAACCTACTGACCTTAAAAAGCAAAAAGATAAAGCAAGTTTTACAATCTCACGAAATATGTTTTTCTTTTACATACTGTGTGTTTCCGGCAATCGGCAGGGCATCCCCATTCCAATATTGACACCCCGCATCTTTTTCTTTTCTTAATTTTTACTATTAAGAAAAATGAAGTTCTACTGTCTGATTTATAAAGCCATGTCTTTCTAATACTTAACCAGAATTTCTAAAGTTATTTTCAAGAAGGTAGATATTAAAGTTGAGTGTTTTGCATGACTGCCACTAATCAAGAACAGCAAGCCCGCCGGAAATCGTGATCGTTTGTTTTTTATAGGTACGTTTCATAGGAGTAAAATATGCACTGAATTGCAGGTCGTGACAGCTATACGCTATGGGCTATGCTCGAAGTTTGTCTGCGTGATAAAATCCGCAAATCCGTAAAAATCAGTAAGAATTTATCAGAAGAACAAGAGTAACTGACATAGTACAGTGAATCAGTAGGTAACGTAGCATTGTAGATAAAGTAGCAGTGTAGGTAAAGTAGCATATAACTTGAAGAAATGATGGAGAAGAACTGTTCCCGAGTGGTGGCATCTTAGTCAGGGCCGGATAATTACGTCGGGCCCTTAGGCAATTCAATTCTCGGGGATCCTTTTTAGGCGTTTGAAAGTTCATCAGCTCTTTTCATGTTGATCAAATGATGTGAGTAATCGCATCAGCAGCACCACAGGGCTGATACTTAATTCCTTAGGAAGTAAGAGTAAAAGATTTGTATTTGGGCTCATTGAAATAGTCTTCATGATTAGGGTATGTATACTGGGTGATTTTTTACCGTCTGGAAAAAAGGTGTAACAGGTGAACGGAATAGATGCCTATGGTGCGTATATTTTTAATTTCAATAGTTTTTAATTGATTTATTTATTTAGTTCAACATTTTTGTTTTTATTTATTTACTACCGAAAGTTTATTTCAAATTAGTGGTATTTATTGATAGTTCAATTTCATAATATGTTAATGTAAAAGTAATAAATTGTAAAATATCAGTACCTCATAGGCTCCTAGTCCACCCTATTTTTTTACAGACGGCAAAAAATCATCGAGTATAATTTGGAAAGTGATGATCCAGGTCTCTATAGTTTAAGAGATAAGACCGTCTCACGGTCTCATGATGGGACAGGAAATAAAAATAGGACGCAGGGGTTTTAATATTAATTTTATTCTTGTTACATGCAATAAAATAAAATAAACGAAAGAAAATAGTTTTGACAAGGATGTTTTAATTTTAACTTTATTCTTGTTAAGTGCAATACAAAACAATAAACGAAACAAAATAGTTTTGTACAAGTACATTAAGTTTAAATATTAAGGTTTCTACCATTTTTGGATACAAAATCGTTCATAACATCCTGAAAGTTGATCTTTTTCAATAAATCATTCTCAATCGCCATTATCGACAATGAATTGGAACACTTCTGAGACATTGACGAACGAAGACAGTTTTATATTAGTTTTAATTTTAAAAGATTACGTTCACCCTTTGCGTTTGATGTCATCAGGCTTCTGTATATTTACAATGCTAACATTATATTCAGGTAAGTTAATTTTACCATATTATCAAAAATTTATTTAAACGATTCCTCAGCAGGTACAATTTTATCTTTCCCCGCAATCCCCGCATCTTCTAATTATAACATGAAGTACTTTAACTGTACCATCTATTCTACAAACTTAGACTAAATGTCCTCGAAATAATTTTTACTAAAATTTGTACACGCCTCTTTATCTCATCGTTGGTCCCTTTAATGAAATCTGTTAGAAATTCAAACAGAATTAATTTGCCGGTAAACTTCTGGTCGATGCGAAAATTCTGCATACAGCACGTCGAATATAGGCAAATATGTTTCAACCTTTAACTTGTCTTTACCTCTTTACCTATGATTACACCATCTGCAGATTCATCATCGTGATGCTTTTTTCTTCTTTGCACACTCTGATTGTCATCACTGGATTCTGTATCGGTTTTCTCATTTGCCTTCATCTCGTAATCATCAACTGCTATTCGAAGTTCAATAGTTGGGTTTTGTAAAGATATACTGACACCATTAATTCAATCCAGTATGGCAGCACCAAATATTGTCATTACAGCATATTCTTTTTTCCGAGTTCTTTAAAAGTCATCGAGCCTCGTAAATCGCTTGCGATATCTCAATCTCATCGTATATATATATATATATATATATATTTATTTATATATATATATATATATATATATATATATATATATATAATCGAAATCTCGGAAACGGCTCCAACGATTTTCATAAAATTTTGTGTCCGGGGAGTTTAGGATGCAATAAATCGATCTAGCTATGATTTATTTTTAGATGTCCTTTTGTCCGTGTTTTCAGGCAATGAAAAACTGCTAAAATATAAGAAGGTAAATTTTGACAGATCATCAGTATGTAATTTATAAATGTAATTTCAAAAAAAAAAACCGAGCAAAGCTCGGTCAACCGGGTACTTGCAACATTATGTACGTAAGTACGTGAAAAGACAATTTATTTTTGAATGGGCTCACTACAAATTGTGGCGTTACTTAATGAAATGCATGCCGATTTATTACTTATATCTCTAGATTACACTAGTGATATTAGTTTTACCGCATCTAACGGGAATACTGAGAAATTAACAATCAAACAGCAATCTCATTATAACCTAAACCTTATATGTGCGAGTGCGGGGGCAATAAATCGATCATAGCTAGATCGATTTATTGCCACCGAAACTCCCTGGACACAAAATTTTATGAAAATCGTTGGAGCCGTTTCCGAGATTTCGATTATATATATATATATATATATATATATATATATATATATATATATATATATTTTATATATATATATATATTAAGGTTTATTGCTGAAAAAGTGTTCGATACAAAAGGTGTACAACAGCCGATGCGGCTAAGGCTTTTTCAGAAGGTTAGAGTTCCCAGAAAGCTTTGCAGTCTATTGTTAACGATGAGATTGAGATATCGCAAGCGATTTAAGAGGCTCGATGATTTTTAAAGAACTCGGAAAAAAGAACATGCTGTAATGACAATATTTGGTGCTGCCATACTGGATTGAATTAATGGTGTCATTATATCTTTACAAAACCCAACTATTGAACTTCGAATGCAGTTGATAATTACGAGATGAAGGCAAATGAGAAAACCGATATCGAATGCAGTGATGACAATCAGAGTGTGCAAAGAAGAAAAAAGCTGATTACATCATCTGCAGATGATGAATCTGCAGATGATGTAATCAGAGGTAAAGAGGTAAAGACAAGTTAAAGGTTGAAACATATTTGCCTATATCAACGTGCTGTATGCAGAATTTTCGCATCGACCAGAAGTTTACCGGCAAATTAATTCTGTTTGAATTTCTAACAGATTTCATTAAAGGGACCAACGATGAGATAAAGAGGCGTGTACAAATTTTAGCAAAGATTATTTCGAGGACATTTAGTCTAAGTTTGTAGAATAGATGGTACAGTTAAAGTACTTCATGTTATAATTAGAAGATGCGGGGATTGCGGGGAAAGATAAAATTGTACCTGCTGAGGAATCATAAATAAATAAAAGCATCAAGATCCTTAATTTAATTACTAAAAGTACCTATTTCCTTAGTAGAAAAATGAAAAAATATAAATGCCACTGGCAATCTAAATCTAATCCATAGGCACACGACACCTTCGTACCACAGTTCGTACCTTGTTGAACAAAACGCATAAGCGACGCCGTTTCGGCGGCGTTTACGACTTTTTTCTCGCGAACATTGAGCTATAATCTATAATGCTTCCTATCTCATTTTCTAACGTTAAATCATATGAATTTATGTGACTGTCTCTTTTTACTGTCGCTTTTTCGTTTCATCCAGTTTCAAATCACAACGATGCTAAAGAAGTTTTCACATCAAAAAAGTGAAAAAGGTGAAATAGGGTGTTACAGCTTGTTCTTTATAAAATACCCTTCCGTTAGAGAGTAGTATATTCCCTAAATAAGCTTCTCTCTAACGGAACCTACCTTTACAGTGCACAGGTGAAAGCGCAAGGCCCAGTAGCAAAACGAAGAAGGGTTCGACAGGAAATTCCACCTGATCAAATATTCCATCGGACCGAATCGGGTTTAATGCCACATACAAGCCATTATTTGTTGTTTAAACAGCGTGCTCCTAAAAGGAAAATATTTAGCAGAAAACATGCCACACTGCACTTTCTAGAAGATTTAATACATAAAGACTAATTGGCCTAGCTGTTAAGACCCTGGAATCAACGCGGGTGGCAGTCGCGAGTCACGAGACCTGGGTTGTAATCCGAACCGAACCCAACATTTGTTCCAAAACATAAATAACTTTGTTTTCGGGTTGAGATTTTCGGTTGTGTTGTAGCCTCGTATCCCTGACAGCGTCTTACACATTGCTTGGGCCGTCACATCAGCCCTATAGGGAGGTCTAGGTTCAGTGGACTTTCTAAAGGCAGTAATGAATGAATGAATGAATGAATGAAATGTCTCAAAAAAGTTTATGTGACTTAGTTTTGCTCAGCGTAGAGCGAAGAAGAACGGAAAAAGCTGATTTCAAATCATCACGATGATTTGCATCATATTGGGTCCTTACATATGAAATTAGCGTTTTGTCGTACTGACCACTTTGATCTGGATTAATAATTTGTACGGCGCTGGTGTAAAGAAATCACGACATTTTTGGTATCAACGTTTTCGTTTTGGAAATTTTGACGTTCAGAACCAACCCCGTGGACGGCCGGGACCAAAGTGGAAAATGAAAAATCAAAGGCTATTGTGGAAGCGGATCCATCACAAAGCACTTCAGAGACAGCTGCAGGCTTCGGGTAAGTGATAAAACTGTATTAATGTACTTGAAGCAAATCGGGAAAGAGAAAAACTTGAACGATGGGTACCTCGTGAATTGAACGAACACGCGTCGACTGGTGGATTTTAAATCGAATCATTACCTGTGATGAAAATTGGATACTGTACGATAATCGGAAGTGCTCGTCGCAATGGCTGAACCCTGGAGACCCAGCCAATCCTGCCTTAAACGCAAAATGACTCAGAAAAAGTTACTTGTGAGTGTTTGGGGACTAGCGCTGGTTTCGTTCACTACAGCTTTCTAAAATCTGGCCAAACGATTACTGCAGATATTGATTGTCAGCAACTGCAAACCACGAAGGAAGAACTAGCTGCTAAACAAGCGGGATTAGTCAATCGCTCTAGGCCACTGCTGCTTCATGACAACGCAAGACCACACACTGCACAACAAACAACTACTAAGTTAGATGAGCTACAATTGGAATGTCTGCGACATTCACCGTACTCCCCGGGCCTTGCTCCAACAGTTTAATTACCATTTTTCCGGAATTTGGACAACTTCTTACAAGGAAAAAAAATTCAACTCCGATGCGGCAGTCCAAACCGCCTTCAAAGAATTTATTGATTCTCGCCCCCATGGTTATTTTAGTAAAGGGATCAATGAACTACCTATGAGATGGAAAAAGTGCATAGATAACAACGGTACATACTTTGATTAATTTAATATATTTTACAAAAGAATTGACTTTATATTTCTCCCGTACAAAACGCCAATTTCATTTGTAAGGACCTATTAGATATGTTACGTCGTAGAAGGCTAGGAAAGTTCAATTGTAAGTGAAACAGTTTGACAGACCTACTTGCGTTGTAAAATACAAAATAAATATGTTTTGTAAGATCAATGTCTGTTTTACAACAGATACACTAAATATCTGTTTTTTATATTAAAATAATTTACGAAGGGGCGCCACTGTATGTTGCGTGCCCTAACTCGTAGGTACGCCTTTGTTGGAACGTCGTGAATTTAATTAAACATCACGTGTTTATCATAACTAATGTAAATAACATGGTCTATTTATGTAATTAATCTACTGACCTCAATAAGCAAAGATATAAAGCAAGTTTTACAAGTTCAAGTAATATGTGCTTATTATATACACTGTTAGCGTTTTTCCGGTAGAACATCCGTATTCCAATAATGACACCCAGCATCTTTTCCCACGCAATTATTTTCTTCGTCACCGACGCTCGGGACCAACGGATGACAGTCCATAATTTTTTGAATTACATTGTTTTTGTTATGTAATAAAGAAATTGATTTGAAAAATATACAACTTTTTGAAATTTTCGTTTCTTTATAAGTACGACTGCCTCATTAAAAGCCTCTTTGGCTAGTTACTTTCTATTAAAGCCTATAATAAAACTTTTAAGTAATCATCAATATTATACGCTTGAACCCAATTTATATTACCTTTATGTAATGCTAAGAATTCGAAGGAAGAAGAAAAATAAATTTCGATATTTTATTTTGTACGTCTTTGTTATTTTTGGTAAGCTTTTGGGCTTAGGTTGAAAATTATTTAATATCGTGTATAATGACATATAAAGTGAATCAGTTAGAAAATAAACTAATCTTATAATTCAATGCCTGTAGTTATTGTAACGTTAATAATAATACGGATTTGATGTCTAGCTATCGAGATTAGAACACTCCGTCACGTTGGGAGGCGTGCAATAATCAATATTGAATAACAATCATTCATTTCATTTTTTCAATTTCATTTCCTTAGGTAGGAGTTATCCTGAATAAATTTGGAGAAAATATTCCACCCCTGAGGGTGACAAAATAGAGAATAAAGTTTTAGAGTACCTATTCAGATGAAATTGAAATTTTGATATTCAAAAGTTCACTCATAAAATTAAAAAATAATAACTTTACCAAGAAAAACAGCCGATTTCTAGAACTAAGAAGAAAAAATAATTTTCCATTCTGAGATCTGTGCTGTATTATATAGCCATAGTGTTAAAAACACTCACGTACTCACGCAAGTTCGCATGCACTCACCCACGCACGCACGCATGTACGTAAAAACACATTTTATAATTGTAATGAATATAAAAAAGGTCAATGCTGCGGGCGCCAGAATCAAAATTTTTGTAGGAAAAATAAATAATGAAGCTTAAGATACTCGCAGAGAGACTAATTTTGTGACAATTTCCAGCTGCAATAGTGTAAGCATAGCCTTCAAGTTGATGTCTAAGTCCCGCAATGTTACTTCGTGTTTATGTACTCAATTGCTCGGTGATACAGTTGAAGCACATTACCGGAATACACTTAGCAAGCTGTTGCACACTATTATAGCAGCAAAAGTATTAATGCTTGTCAAAAGAAAAAACAAAAAGATGTATTTGTATTTTAATACAGACACCAAACTGTATATATGAATATACATTTTATCTACATCATCATTACATTCCCTCATACGTCTACTGCTTATATATATGTATATAAATATATATATATATATATATATATATATATATATATATATATATATATATATATATATATATATATATATATATATATATATAGCCTAGCCCAGTACCACTAAGCTACTGATCCGTTTTGGGTTATTTCGGTTACTCTGGTTATACTGCGGATATCTTCAATTTTTTTTCTAAAAATTAATCTGCTAGTGTTCGTTATAATTTGCACAGAACTAATGTGTTAGTATAGCCTTTTATAGTATATTAATACTATTTCTCAATAGTATTTTTTCTTATGAGTACAATTAAACTGCTAAAAAAATTCGTAAAGTTTGTTTACAAATAAACCTGTGCTTAATCAAAGAAATTTTAAAGAATAATGTAAAAAAGATAGTAGGTATTTCATTGTATAAAAATTGCAAAAAAATACATGTTTATAAATGATATTATTTTTATTTAACGATTTTACTCGATACAAACTTACGATTACGTCTAATCTAAAAACATTTCTAATAAAAAAAATACTTCTAATCTAAAATTATAATCAACTTCGAATAAATACTAGGAGAAAATTGAGTAAATATAACTAACCCACGATAACTACAAGTAAAGTATGTTTTCAGTGTCAAAATTGTAATATACGAGTATGTAAAACATTACAAAGTATTCTCTTATAAGTATAAAACGATCCGCTTTTTATTTACTTAAGGAATGCGTTATATCAAGGGATCTGAAATATTTTGCAGTATCTTGTGGTAATACTTTTTTAAATCTAAATTCTTTTAAATTGGTATTAACATTCTGTTTGAGTATTGACTAGGCGACCACTGGAGAATTATGTTGTGTTGTGAAAATAGGAATATCAGTGAAATATTTCTCAAACACCGCTGCGACTTCTTGATTTGATTTAGTCAGTAGTTTATTAATTTTCAATTTATAGTTTGTGTTACAAGATTTGTCTTTACCGGTTTCACTATTAATTATACTTCATATCGTTTTAACTTTATTTTTCGCAGTCTTAATTTCATTGTTAATATGTAAAGAGTTGTTGATCTCTTTTAAATATTTTAAAATAATTTTTGACATATTCTCTAAAAGTATCGGAAATATAATATGATCTTTCATCGTGAAGTTCGTATATAATAATTATAGATCGGATAATCGGATGCATATTCAAAAAATTATTAAGTTTTATTGTTAAAAAGTTATTTGCTAACAAAATATGGAAGCGGCCTCTTAGGATATTTTTATTTGAAACAGAAACAGAAACTTTTTTATTCAATGTAGATTATAACGATACTTAATGAAAGTCACTTTTTAATTTACCACTGGTTCGCAAAAAAAAACCTCTGTCCTGGATAACCAGCAAGAAACCCAGTGGGACTATTTTTTTTTTTCAATAATAGCTTACAATCATGTTTACAATTAACAACACTAGACAAATTAGAAATAGCTTGGTAGCGATCACCCTTTCCCAGGGGTTATTATCATCCATAAATTCCTTAATATTATAATAACCCTTTTTATACAAACTTAGTTTAATAACATTTTTGAACTTTGTGTATGACAAATTTTGTATATTTTTTGGGATTTTGTTGTAAAAGCGTATACATCGCCCCAAGAATGAATTACTGACTCGGTGGAGTCGAGTAATTGGTACTACTAGCTTGTGTCTGCTCCTAGTATTTACAGAATGAATATTACTTATTTTCGCAAAACTACTTTTATTTTTGTGTACGTACATTACATTTTCATAAATGTATTGAGAGGCCAGAGTTAATATATTGATTTCCTTAAATTTTTGTGTCAGTGACTCTTTTGGTTTTAAATTATATATTGCTCTAATGGCCCTCTTCTGCAAAATAAATATAATTTCAGTGTCAGTCGCGTGTCCCCATAGCAAAACACCATACGACATAATGCTATGGAAATAACTAAAGTAAACTATTCTAGCTGTTTCAACACTGGTAAGAGTTCTAATCTTTTTTACAGCATATTAAAAATAAAATTCCGGGATTGCATAACTAATTGGATGCTTATTTACTTGTTGAACATTATGGTGTTACATCTTATTCTACTGACTATTCAGAACTTCTTAATTTACAATTATTCAGAGAATTGTAGTATACAATTATAATTTTCTCGAAGTTATCACTTGTTAGTCTATTTCTTTTCAAATTCAGGACCCACTTGTGGGTTGAAAAGGATCTCTCCACAACTACAGAAGTAACTGTCAACTTGCTTACATTAATTATTATTAATAATTAATAACAAATTTGGAGAAAAAATTCCACCCCAAGGGTGACAAAATAGAGAATGAAATTTTAATGTAACTATTTAGGTGACATGTAAATTGTGATATTCATAGGTCCACTCAAAAAAAAAATAGAAAATAGTTACTTTCAACCAAAAGTAAAAGCCGACTTTTAGAACTAAGATGATTAAAATAATTTTCTATTTTGAGGTCAGTGCTATAGTATTAGTATGGCCATAGTGTAAAGAAGAATTAAAGTCGTTTTTTTCTTTAACTAAATTAATATCAAAATTTAAATTATTATCAAAATTTAATTAATTAAAAAATAACTCAACAAAATACTATACCAGTACTATATATTTTATAAGTACATTTTAACTGCCAAAACAAATCGTTAAGTTTGTTTACAAATAAACCTGTGCTTAATCACAGAAATTTTAAAAAATAATGTGAAAAAGACAAAAGGTATTTATTTGATTGTTAAAAATAGCAAAAAAAAGTTTTAATGACAGCTTTTTTATTTACGAAATTACTCGATACAAACTTACGAATACCTATAACTATGAATACCAGGAATAGGCATATAACATAGAGTAAAAAACTAATCCACGATAACAGCATTTTAAATATATTTTCAGTGTCAAAATTTTAATATATATAAAATATTACCAAGCATTCTATTACATAAGCTTAACACTGGATTCGGCTTGGTTAGAAAAATGTGTGTATTTTATTTTGTGTTGTGCACAAGGATAGCAAATACTTTTACAATATCATATTATTTATGCTTATCAGCTTTCTCTTGACCAACCTACTAGTGTGTTTAACTAGAACTAAAATTAGTCTATAAAACCTTGCCACTTTTATCGTACACAACGATATGATTTTTAATTACACTATTAAATGAATGGAGTTTCAAAATTCATCTATATTTGGATTGATGTTATGTTTTAATTTCACGTGTCTCCCAATCCAATACCAAGGATTTCTTGATCACCAATATCAAGGTTTAATACGTTGTCAGGGTCATTGGTATTGAGCAAGTCTAAAGTAATGAGCCCTTTGTCATTTTCGGTTTGTGTGTTGTAGGTTTTGGTGGTGTCTTTGCTACTGTCAGGTACTGTGCCTCCCAATCCAATACCGAGGACTTCTTGATCACCAATATCAAGTTTTAAAACGTTGTCAGGATCATTCGTATTAAGCAAGTCTAAATTAATGAGCCCTTTGTCAGAATGATTTTGTGTGGAGTCACTTTTGGTGATGTCTTTGCTACTATCGGGTACTGTGCCTCCCAATCCAATACCGAGGACTTCTTGATCACCAATATCAAGTTTTAAAACGTTGTCAGGATCATTCGCATTAAGCAAGTCTAAATTAATGAGCCCTTTGTCAGAATCGTTTTGTGTGGAGTCAGTTTTGGTGGTGTCTTTGGTACTGTCAGGTACTGTGCCTCCCAATCCAATACCGAGGATTTCTTGATCACCAATATCAAGTTTTAAAACGTTGTCAGGATCATTCGTATTAAGCAAGTCTAAATTAATGAGCCCTTTGTCAGAATCATTTTGTGTGGAGTCAATTTTGGTGGTATCTTTGCTACTATCGGTTACTGTGCCTCCCAAACCAATACCGAGTACTTCTTGATCACCAATATCAAGTTTTAAAACGTTGTCAGGATCATTCGTATTAAGCAAGTCTAAATTAATGAGCCCTTTGTCAGAATCGTTTTGTGTGGAGTCAGTTTTGGTGGTGTCTTTGGTACTTCCAGGTACTGTGTCTCCCAATCCAACACCGAGGACTTCTTGATCAGCAATTTCAAGTTTTAATACGTTTCAGGATCATTCGTATAAGCGTATATGCCTTTGTCAGATCGTTTTGTGTGTGTTTGTGGTCTTTGGTACTGTGTCTCCCAATCCAACACCGAGGACTTCTTGATCAGCAATTTCAAGTTTTAATACGTTATCAGGATCATTCGTATTAAGCAAGTCTAAATTAATGAGCCCTTTGTCAGAATCGTTTTGTGTGGTTTCGGTTTTGGTGGTATCCTTGCTACTGTTGGGTACTGTGTCTCCCAATGCAATACCGAGAACTTCTTGATCAGCAATTTCAAGTTTTAATACGTTGTCGGGATCATTCGTGTTAAGCAAGTCTAAATTAATGAGCCCTTTGTTAGAATCGTATTGTGTGGTGTCGGGTTTTGTGGTGTCTTTGCTACTGTCAGGTACTGTACCTCCCAATCCAATACCGAGGACTTCTTGATCAGCAATATCAACTTTTAAAACGTTGTCAGGATGATTAGAATTAAGCAAGTCTAAATTAATGAGACCTTTGTCAGAATAGTTTTGTGTGGTGTCGGTTTTGGTGATATCCTTGCTACTGTTAGGTGCTGTGTCTCCCAATCCAATACCGAGAACTTCTTGATCAGCGATATCAAGTTTTAATACATTGTCGGGATCATTTGGGTTGAGTACGTCTAAATTAATGAGTCCTTTATCAGAGTAGCCCTGTGTGGTGTGAGTTTTCTTGTCACCAGTGCTAATTGCATTACTATTACTACCACCTATATTTTTTTTGCCACATCTTCCATTTTTAATGTTGTTAACAGCTGTGTATACTAAGGCGTTGACCAATTTCATTATTATTTCTTTAACATCAATGTTCTTTCTACACTGCGATTTCGAGTTTTTGATTTCTTCAAGAGCACCTTTTAATGTTTGTAAAACGTTTACCTCGTCGTAATTGCATGGAGGTGTCCACGGTCCGTGAGGCAGACATTTTGCCTGGGGCATCTGCAAATTTATATGAAGATGTATTTCGGTTTTATAATACAAAAGTTTTAGAGTGCACAAGATTTATTCAAAATACTTCGGTAAGTGTTTGGTTTAGTGAAAATACAAAGGCATTTAATAGGCCTTAACCCATCACATCACAAGTAATGATTGATGTATATCAGGTATGCGTGGTTATATCTAAAGGACTATCACAAGCATGTCCCGGAACACAAACGATTACGTTACTTAATTTTGTACCAATTACATCTACAAATCTTGTTGACAACCATATTTTAGTGTTTTAATCTGAAATGGAAATCTACAACTAAATGTAAAAGCTACCACACATACCATACCATATAATACCTTAAAAATATACTCTATTCTGTACGCATAAAATTATGCATTTTATTTATTTTTATTTATTAAATTATATACAACAACGGAAACGCATTCCTTTACACGTTGTTATGATAATTAAGATTTTAATGTAAATAGTGATATTATATATTGGTTTTCATTTGCATCACATCACCATCACCAGCATTTTTCCTATCTACAAATGGGCCTTTCTAGATTGCGTCAATTCAAATTAATTTCTATAAAGATTTGAACCATTTTGCCACATTGGACACCGCTAGGAACACACAGACTGGTGATGCTTCAATGAGTTACCAGTCTGTGAAATTTGTTGTCATGAATATCTTCTAGCTCTCACAGCGGTACATAGCACACAATTGAGGTTTGCAGAAAAAGCTCATAAGTTTCATTTCTCTTTTTTTCCTTCTTGCTATTTTTAATAATCTTATTTGTGGAAGTTTATACTTTGGAAACACTTTACATTACACGTACGTACGTTGTTTTAAAAAACAATGAATAACAAAACTAAAAATTATAATAAAAAACTAATGTATTACTCACCTCAAACAGAGACACTACCAATATAAAAGAAAACAAGTATATTGAAATCATTTCTACTTTGTAACTGATGCTGGTCTCCTTTGAGAGACTCCTTTATATACATACATATTCTGCTCCATTGCGAAACACATAGTTAATAATCCTTTATACTTATTACATTTTCTTCTGAACTCGGCTTTCAAATATTTTTTTAAATAATTTTGCAAAAATAATAAGGTATGGATATATATAGTCAACAGATAAATAATAATTAGTAACAGCATAAAGTATATGTGCCGTGCCACGTAGTGTTGGCTTAAGAAAGCCACGACACCATATCATCCCGTGGGAGTCATAAGAGGCAACATGGGGAAATTGAAACAGGAGATGGGCAGTAGCATTTTTCTAATAATAGCCTAAAATAATTCGAAAGTGCGGTTGTAAATCCGCTTGCTGAGCATGGCAACTATGGCAAATATTTCTTCTATGAGACTGACTATAGAATATATAAAGTAGTAAATATAGAAAGAAATATAGAATAGCTTGAAATAAGTGTCCCGATTCAGGAGCAGCAATTCTACTAATTCTTCAAATTCATAGAATGATAATGACTTAAACTTGATGTCCCGAGTAATTTAAGTGGTAGGGCACTATGTTCTAAAGCCAATACCAAATCAATACATATTACTGCTTGCCGTATAGTGGCTGGGTAAGAGAATGCTCTATTCCATATCATCCCGTGGGTTTCGTAAAAGGCGACTGAGGGAAATGAAACAGAAGGCAACCCGCCTCACAAGTGTGCCAACAATCACAAATATCCCTCCATGAACCACTTTCCAGGGGGAGGGGGGAGGTCAGCAGTGAACTTTTAAGTTAAAGCATGGTGTCCTTAATTATAACTATTTTTGAAGTGACCTACACTAGTCATGAAAAGGTAATTCAAACAAAATAATTTGTTAGTCATACATATTTGAATTAGATTAGTTCTAAAATCAGATTATTTTTGTATATGGAGAGATTCAAAGATTTATTCTCGGTGAAAAAATAATTCTAAAACTAAGTACAGTACATTATGTGAAATTAACATTGTTTGAAAAATTAAATAATTTTTTTTAGATAATCTCTATGCGCAAGCTTGATACCTCCAAGGTGTAGCAGGTCCCTGCAATTAGAAGTGCATTTATTTTTAGTTGCAACTAAAACGAGAGAGTCAATCAAACTTCTTATGATTTCATCTGCTGATAAGATCTATCTTATCACTGTTTTCGATTTTGTTCACTAGAGATACAAACTTTAGCAACGTATTCATGTTGGTAGGCGTCGCGAGGACGTATTTAGGACGGCTATTATACCATTGTCCTACGGCCACCTGTGAAACGTAAACTAGCCTTGATATGTTTTTCTGCATCATAACAAAATATTAAATCTTACACCACAACACGCAGTAATAAAAAAAAGGGCAACGAAGAAACGATCGATAGTTACAAACATGCTATTAAATATGGAACCTGTGGTTTTATAAATTAGTATTATTACAAAATATTTAATTACCTAATGTTACAAATAATGACTTAATAGTAGTAATATACCCAATTTGAGTTCTTGTGTGTGATTTTAATATTTATACGTTATCCTAGCGATTAAATGTTATAAAAAAAATCATAAAATTAAACACTTACATTAATTGTTTCTCATATAGTAAGTGTAAGTACAAGATAATTTAGAGTTGTATTCTACAAATTACCAAGTGCCTAGTCGGAACGGTGATGCGTAGTGGTGATGTAAGAATATTTATTACCACACAACGTCCCAGGGTATTGTAAGAGTCTTCGGAGAGAACATGAAACAGGAGACGGGCAGCAGCATCTTCCTGATATCATTTCAAAATTATAAAAAGTACTGCGGTTAGCCTAATAAGTTTGGCAGTCGCCTGACAAGTGTGTAAACTTTGGCAAAAGCAATATAATTTATATTTGCCCTAATTTTAATTTATAGGCAAAATCAATCTCACCAAGGCAATAGTGGGAACGTATGCCTATACATACCGCAACGGCATATTACAAAAATAATTCACTAGAATTATTGTAAAATTTCATTACAAAATTATTACAGTGTCTGGTATGTTTCAAAACTTATTTCAATAGTATGTTTTTGTTAGTAAGGTACGTGAGGGTATTATGATCATCTTACGATTTACCGTCCTATAAAAACTGGGAGGAGTACGGAGACAAAAACACAAGGTTGTATACTATAACTAACATATTACGAAAAAAATAGCAAACAAACTTTGACAAAATTAGGAGCACTTCAAGAAATCGACATTAAAAAAACGAACTACACTATAACAATACTAAAATCGACTAAAATATTTACTATAACCGTAACTGTCAATATAACGTCGATAAAGCAGCGCTCTTTATTATTTGACTGATGAAGAGCATATCACATCACAGAGACATCTATGCAAACAAGGCTGTAGTTTTTGCGTAAGAAGAAAATAACCATATTAAACCGGATGACCATATTACCCTCACGTACAATACAATAATTGAACAAACAGTGATGTGGTGTCCTAGCCGCTTTCGAAGATAATGGCAGCTTCAGAATAACTTCCAAAGCTATTAACTATCGGCCGATGTAACAATGTGAATGCCTTAAGAGTAAGAGAGAGTCGGAGGTAGATTAGGATACGTTTAAAAACGCACACATTTACAACGTTGTTAGACCCGTAGACTTCGCATTTAGTCTCTTTCCACAAATGTTGATTCTTGTAGTAAAATTGGTGATAAAAATATACTGACTGTTCACTGTCACAATGTTTACTTCCCTTGTATACAGCTCCACAACTCACAATATACACAAATTAGAGTTTATTTATTATAATAATAAATGTTCATAAATTTAAAATAAGATAAAGAATACACAGATTTCGGACAGAATACAAACGCTTTTAAAGTTCACAATAACAGTACATTTACTACCACAATACAGTTTGTAACAACACACAATTTTTGTAAGAATTTAGGCTTTAATACTCATTTAGCAACTACATTTTATAAATAATTAGCGCTCATGACAGTTGTCAGTCAGGACCCGTCTTTTTAATTTTTGACATATATTTATGTGGCTACGCCACGTAGTCAAGTCACAAGGTCGACATCAAAAAATACTAGTTGCTTTTCTTTATTTATGGCACTAAACAAATAAATAGATTGTAAAAATAAGACTTTGAGTTATTTTTAACCTTTCGTCTTTGGCTGGAAGTGATTCAAAAGTTTTAAACTGCTCAAGCTTCCTCTCTACCTCTAATTTTATTAAGATGTTTTGCCAAAGCTGTCCAAGGGAACTTCTTTCTACCATCTGTTCCATCTCCGCACAGGGAGAACGACTCATTGGACAAAATCATCTTTTAGGTTGTCTTTTTGAGTCCAATTCGACTCTTGATGACGAAATATACACACCGCCAACCATCCTGCGATGCGATTAATCCATACTAGACATGCTGTTTAAACAGCACTCAGAGTGCAAAAAGCACTCCTCTCTCTGGGCGTCAACAAGTCGAGTGGGTCTGATGGAGTCCCTCCTTTATGCTGAAGACGGATGCTTCGGAGTTAACACCAATTCTAGCCCGTCTTTTTCGATACGCCTACTCCAAAGGCGTAATCCTGAACTTATGGAAGGCGGCTTTAGTGCACCCGATCCCTAAAAAAGTGACCGCTCAGACCCGCCTAATTACAATCCTATAGCTAGTAGGCGATGGTCGCCTCCTTTTTCTCCTAAATAATGGAATCCATTATAAACTGCCAGCTTCTAAGGTAATTTGAGGACCACCAGCTGATTAGTGAACGCATAGGCGATTCTAGTTCTAAAGCTTTCTTCCTATGGGCTTCCTTAAAAATTGTGCGATTGGATCATCAATTTTCTTGCAGATGAGAGCATACTCCGTGACCGTACTAATATTTCTCGGGAACACGTCATCGAGTAACAAACTTATGTCTGAAGTCAAGCTTTTAATAAGCGAAATCTCGGATTGGGGATAACTCTAGTCCAGTTTAAATTTCCGAAGACACAGGTTTGCTCGTTCACTACTAAAAAGAACCGATCTTGTCGTATCTCCT